CAATAAGTTAGTTAAAAAGAGCTTTAATAATACCAAAATCTCGCAAGGAAAACTTTTTGTTAGTGCGCAGAAGGTGGTTTCATAGTTAAAATGTTGAGTTATGAGAGATTTTTGTTTGTTTTGATTTTCTTACGTTTCTTTTGCATTGCACCTATCTTGAATATGATTGGCCAGTAAAATTTTTTAGGCTGGTAACGCTAGGACACACCCATTGTAATAATTATGGTAAATTTGCAGGTCATTTGGCCAGATCTAAAACACAACTTTAAATGCGGTCAAATAATCTGAAATTTTGATCAGAATTATCGTTATGTTCTATTGATCAGGAATTATTAAATTTATATTTTCCGTTTGGCTAATTCAAGCCTGCATTATAAAGCTGACCAGAATTATGCCAGCTGGCCTGAATTATGAAAATTATATTGCGCAGCCTCTTAAGTGTTCTATTCCTAGTTATCACAATGTTTAGCAAAATTAAAGAAAATAAATATGTAATCAAATAATTGAAAATATGGTTAGTGCAAAAAGATTTGTACATTAGATAAAATTTAATATATTTAATAACATTTAATTAATGTGAGTTCTAATCAAAAACTATCCAATTATCTCGTGTATGTTATAATTTAACCAATCAAATTATAAAATTTTATGTAATAATCATGTAGCTAAAGTTTAAAGTATTTAGAAAGAATAACTTTCATAAAACTTTTACTAATAAAATTAAAAATTTTTATGCATTATTTAGTTAGGCAGTTTATGCAATTAGCCTTTGATTTTATATGGAATATTCATTTAAACTAGCTTGACTTTATTGTGTTATAGAACTATAGCATTATAGTATGGTATTACAGCAATACACCTTTAAATTTCCCTAAATTATCCCAACATATCATTACTCAATTCCGAATTTTTTTTTCAAAATACCGATATCATAATTCAGGAGCCTTTTTTCTGCTTCGAGCAATTCATTTTTATAATGCATGCGTCCCACAGATTCTTTCAACTCAGAAACCTCCTTTACCATTTCATTATATTTGTGTATTAATAATTTTATGTTGCTTTCTGATTCTATGCATTGCTTCAAAACATCATCACGTTGTTTAATCAGTGATTTTATATGATTTTCTAATCCTAGAATTTTGAGTTTGGGATACGATTATTTGGTTTTGTGCTTCTTCTCTCAGTTCATACCCCACTGATTGTATCCATGTAAAATCATCAAAGTCTTCGTCTGAAATTTCTCTGGTAGAAGATGTTCTGATATTTGACATTGTAGCACAAATATTGGACACATCCTCACTTAACGTTTTCCTGAGATCTGCCGTAGGAGGAGTATTAGTGTTGTGCATCAATTTTGCAGAAACGTTATTTGTTATGGGAGGATTAAGATCATCAATTAAAGTTTCCTTTGCACCTGCAGTAGCGTCATGTGGAATATCACCAGATGTCGAAGTATTAAATGTGGAAACATCAAGAGCTTCTTGAGTTATAGTTTCTGTAATGGTGCTGGTGTCATGTATCACTGTTATAAGAACGTCACTCATTGCAGATGCTAAAGTGTTAGCTATAGCAGTAGGAACTTTGCTTTCATAATTTTCACCAGATGTGAAAGTACTAATTCTAGAAACATCAAGAACATCTTGAGTTATTGTTTCCGTAAGAGTGCTGGTATCATGTGTCAATGTTGTAAGAACGTCGTCATTCATTGCAGATGCTGAAGTACTAGCTTTAGCAGTATAAACATTGCTTCCATAATTTTTTGTTAAGTAATTTAAAATTTTTTTGGCACCCGACTCTTTCCAAGGATTCTACAAAGTAAAATGCGAGATTTATTAATGTAACTTTAAGTACTAATTTTAAAATAGTTAAATTTAGAACGATACATACAATTGTTAAATTAAGTAGCTCGTTGGCTTTCCCTCGATCTATATTGCGATGTTTTTTTAGTGTATTCATATATATTTCACTGATTATTTCTTGAAAATTTTTTTCTCTTATCACGATTTCCATCAGTATAGATGATCTCTCTTTTTTTATATAATGTTTTAACCACGAACCAAAACGCCCATTACGTTTCTTAAGAAATTTCAAAAGATCTATAAATTAATTAAAATTTGGGTCAATTTTAAAATAATGATAAATATGTATTACTAATTATGGTGCAAATCATCTAGTCGCATCAAATCTGCACCAATCAAATAACGCCTTACAAATTTGAAAGTTGCTGTTATGTTTTTTTTTTTTTTTTTTTTTTTTTTTTTAATTTGTAACTTCTCAAATAATAATGAAATTTCTCAAAAAAAAAGAGCGTAGCTTTTAAAACAATAAAGTTATGTTTTAATTTTGACGTTACAGTTTTGAATGTTTTTGGATGATTTGCACCAAACATATAATTACGTATAATCAGTGATTATCATGATATTCATAGGCATAAAAAAATCTGTGCCAGGTTTTGTCGATCATTGGCCTAGATTGATTGATTGACATCGGCCCGCATTAAGCTGATCTTGAGGTTGGCATTAGGTTGTGTTTAAATTAGGGTTAGATGAAGATTTAAAGCAAGCCTTATTAACAAAATTATGAGAGGAATTTTGCTATTAAAGCACGAAAAGCCGTTTCAAGAGCAAAATTTTAAGATAGGAAAATTTTTTTTCTTACTTTTTTTTCAATCGTGATCGACAAAACCTGGCACTTCCTATTTCACCTTTCCAAAATTCGAAACGGTTTTGCAACACTATTGACTTTAACATTTGAAAGTTTACCCTTTTCGGCCTCTTCTTGAAGATCTTTTAATTCTCTGCAATAGAAAATAGAAAATATTAATATAAGAACATACGCCTCTAGATTAATAATTCAATTAACAAATTCGCAATGCTGAAATAAGTATCTAGGATTTTGTCGAAACATTAATTGAGTTATGTTTAGTCATGCTTCATGATAAAGTTCAAAACTTTCTCACTACAATCTAGGAGATAGACGTGCTTTCTAACTAATTCATCTAGCTCGAAAGAATCCTATAAAGGCATAATTTAGTTGATGCATCCAACATTTCAATGCTTCATGAAAAGATTTAAACTTTCGCTACAACATTGGAGATAAATATATCTCGTTAATGCATCCACATTCAACATATCAATTCTTCATGAAAGTTTAAAAATTTTACACTACAACATTTAAGATAGATGAACTTTCGATTAAATTTTTTCGAAAAAAATATCTCGTTAATGCACCCAACATTTAAATACATCATGAAAAGTTTAAATCTTTTTCACTACTACATAGGAAATATATGCGTTTTTGAATAAAATTCTTTAGTTCGAAACGATATATTTCGTCGATACATTAGACATTGAGATATATGCACTTTCAATTTGAAAGGATATATTTCTGGTCGATGTATAGAACGTTCAACGGTTCATGACCAATTCCTCCTTCAGAATTAGCAAATCAAAAGAAAAAACTTTTCATTACGATATAGGAAAATATTTCTCGCTATAAAGGCATGATTTTTCGATTTCATCCAACTTTTAAATGCTTCATGATAAGGTCAAGAACTTTTCATGACAATACAAAACTAATAGCTCAATCACAATTAAACATTTCATGCAATAAAAAGTTTGTTCTTACTTGTACTCCATTGTGAACAAAAGTAAAAAAAAACCAGAAATACCAGAAAATGCAAGGTCCAGGTAGTTGTATGGCTATAGGAAACGAAACGTAAGAGCGAAAATGTAAGAAAAAGAAAACACGAAAATGTCTGTTTATTAAACACATGACAGTCAATGTTACACGCAACCCTATTGGTTGATCACGTAAATTGAATATTACGTCATGATTGGTACTTTGCAGATCATGTGCCAACTGCCAATCAAAATTTTTTATTTGATATCGATTCAACGATAATGAAGGATCGATTTTCCGGTCACGTGCCATCTGCTGATTTTCCGACCTGGTCCCCGAATGCATCTATTTGCGCAACAATACCCATCAGCACGTAAATACCGATTTTTTAAGAATTAGGGTTAGGGTGCCCGTATTAAG